GGTACGACCTCGACAACGAGTCGGGAGAGAGCTCGCGGCTGTTCGTCCGAAGAAAGCCAGAGAGAGAGAGAGAGAAGCAGAGCTCGAAATCTTTCGTGAAATCTTTCATTTAAACAGGGGGGGGACACATAAAGCCAAGCATTGGAAAAACAAAAACAAAAAAACGAAACGATGAACGAAGCAAAGTGCCGACTACACCGAGCATCTTCTTGTTTCCTCTGATCGTAAAAGAGAGAGAGAGAAGCTGCTGTAGCTCAACAGGCTCCAAGGTCGCTTAGTGATGCTGGTTACGCTGCGTGGTTAGATAGCATTTGATGGCCAAAGACGAGGAGGAGGAGGAGGAGGGACACTGAGCACTTGCATGGTCATCATCACATCATCACGCAGCAGCAGCAGGAGGAGGAGGAAGGCGAAGGGCTTGCATGATCATCAACATCATCGCGCACTCCCGAAAGGAGTGGGGGTGGTGATGGGGGGGAGGGGAAGGAGAGTTCGGCAAAACACTGAACACAAAACCAGACGTTAGTGAAGACACTTGTGGGAACACTTACCTCTCAGCTGAGGCGCGAACACTCAGCGAGGTCTCCATACCCGCAGCTGCCTCCCCAGGAGGGGAGGGGGGCCTTGAGAGATGTGAGATGAGTTTGGGGTTGTGGGGAGACGAGTTAGTACCCTGGTTTGAACTCATTACAAGGGCATCCGTAGGAGCTTGTGATGATGGTGGTGATGTCGTTTGTAGGAATATCACCATCTCACAGTACGGTGTTTTCGTCCTGATATCCAGTCGAGGGCTTCAGGAGATGCAGTGGCGGGATATAAACTCCCTCGCCTGTTCTACAAGAGGTTGTGGATTCGATCCTAACCCTGGCGCCTGTATATTTGGAGTTTGCACGTTCTCCCCGTGTTAGCGTGGCTCTTTCTCCGCGTCCTCCGGGTTTTCCCTCCACATTTAGAATCAACAACACGCGTTTAGGGTGTTTGGCTGCAAAACATTTCCCTGTGATGAGCCGCTTCGCTGAGCTATCATTTGTGGCGAGTTAGATTCTAAAAAAAGAAAAATAGCTAACTTAGCTCAGTGAGCAATTACCTGGTATAATTAAAATAAAAGAGTTTAAAGTTTTAAATCGTCGTTAAATATCAGAGATGTTTCCTGGGAATTTAGGGCATTGAGAGACAGAGAGAGGCCACGTGGATTGGAGAACACACACACAGGTTCGTAACATCTTCCACACTCGAGAAAAGTCAGCGTGGGCTAGGACAGGACACAACACGTCTAGCAGGGATAATGGATGGTCAAGGATAATGACGGAGTGACACGCAAGGAATGGAACGCGTCGGAGAGGACGTAAAAACGTCAGGAGATGGAGCGATGGTATCAGCTGGCGAGCAGGCCCCTTGAGTGGATTGCGTCATCGCGGAGCCGTGAGAGGTGGCGGTTGGAGGCTTAGGGAGGCCTTTATCCAGCAGTGGATTAATCATGGCTGATGACGATGGTCAGGGAGAACAATCAACAACTAATAACAATGCATTTATGTGGAGAGGGAAACGTGAGAAGGAAGCTCCCCTTGCAACTGTGGGCACCTCCGATTGGCATGGTTGGCTACGTACAGTGCGAATGAAGTTCAACGTAGAAACATGGCACTGTAATTCGCTAATGTGATTTGGCAACAGTGATTTCCAAGTGTAGTCATTTATATAGTCTTCTATTGTTCGAGGTCATATACGATTGAGCGTATTATTGAGTGTATGTATCACTTGCCTTTACGTATCATAGAGTACCTGCATGGCCGAGTTTATTTAAGATCGAGTCTACGTGTGAGTCAGTTTAACACGTAGGCTTTCGCTACCAATATCATCCATAATACAGGTTTGTTGGGTTAGATCGCGTAACAGGTTGATTTCTCCACAAATCTGGCTGTCGCCTGACGAAGCTAGTTGTATTTACTGGCGAAACGTCGTACTTAGATTGTAAATGTTGTGGCTTGGCTCTCCAACACACCGGTGTGCTGTACTAGTAAAGAATTGGCATGTTCTGTTTACGTGACAAACCTTACTAATTGGCTGTGTCGGGTGGTGGCGGGTTTAACGACACATTTATACATTTACGCGATCTAACCCACTGTATTATCTATGTGTGAGTGTTTAATCGATCTACCTTTGTAACTTCCTCTGTGGAAGGGGGGGAACATGTGACGACACGCGCAGTGGACACCTACGGGCTATCTGATGATGGACTTCCTCTGGAGTTCTCCGCCATGTCCGACCCCAGCTTGGAAGACTCGAGACATCTGACAATTTAATTCCGTCGGCGCGTCCATCCGTGCGTTGCGTTGGAGCGGGCAGTTGTGTGCAGCTCTTGAACGCAAACCGCACTCGCCGTCTTTCTCTGCTGTGCGTGAGCTGTCCACAAGCGAGCACCCCGAGAGACGATCCTCTTGCTGTTGCCGCCGCTGCCGATGGAGATGGAGCGGGAGGTGACCCAATTTAAGCGCACGAGAAATAAGCAGGACGGCACGCTTCCTTCACATATACACGCCGCCGCCACGTTAATAGCTTAAAAAAAACAAGTAATAAGACGCATTGGTATGAAAAATAAGAATGGGTTTTATCCTTTTTGGCAATAAAACAGGTGTTAAGATGTTCAAACACCAAATGGAAACTTTTTTTAAAGGGATCAATTACCGCATTAACCACACACGGTACTTGCGGTGAACATGCAAACAAAACACGCTCTGGTCATATATGATGAATTGTCTTTGAAGCTGATTGGCCTACACCAGAGAGAGACTTCTTTATGGCCCTTGTCTCACCGATGTCTAACCAGAGAACGCCAATAGGCGAACAGCACAAATCCAATGCACGCATCAGAACATTTATAGCTCGGAGTGAGCAAGCTATGAGATCCCATGATGTAAGTCGTCTTGGTTTCCACTTCTCAACAATCAACACGGCCTTCCGGGAAATTGCGCAACATCAGCAACATTGATTCAACACAAGCAAGCTCTGCTGGTGAAGTCATCACGAGCAGCGTCACTGATTCATTACTGGCCGGATCACCGTGTGAGTCCGTGCAACCAATGTTGAATAACCAATTATTATGCCGATTAGGTGTAGTGATGTCCGTTATGGCTGTTGTTCACAATTGCACCCATAAAAAAGACGTATATTCACACAGGCTTTAGTGTACACTCATATGGGATTATTATGTGTATGCGTAGCTCGTAGTCTAGTTGTAGTGCCTCATGCCGATAATCCCCTACCCTCGAAGCCAGTCAGAAAAGTTGAATTCCCCAGGGGCAGCATCGTTAAAGGGGAGCCGCTCGCGTGCGCTGTTGGCGCTCGGATTTTGGCGAAGAACCAAGCCGGTGCGGTTCCTCGTCAATTCTCTGAGCGGTGGGGGGGGGGGGAGGGGGGGAAGTCGCGCGCGAAACGTCGAACCTCGAGGAGGGTGGGGGGGTGGTTGAACCCTCGAGGTTTGAGCCGCCCTGATCCGCACGCTAAACCGCAAAAACCGCCGCACCCGCCCGCCCTTGAGACGGGACGAGGAGGTTCACAGACATTCAACCGATTCGCAGAAAAAACAAAGACGCTCATTGTGTCGGGGAGCAAACAGGTGCAGGCTGGAAGCCCGTGCCAAGCCCCCCCTCTCACCGCCCCCCTCCTCCTCAGTGTCACTCCTCCAGCCAACAGGGACCTCTTCTCTCCCATAGCCTGCAAACCCCTGGTCACCCCACCGCCCCCCTTTCTCCCATCCCACTCCACCACCACCTGGGATTGAACTCAACCTGCGATGATGCTCAGTGTGTTAATCATCAGCAGCAGCCACTGCGGGATGAAGGCCTCCCCAAGCTTCGATCCTGCGGTGTATTATGTACTTCTGAAACATACCGTGTTAATCATGAAATAAAAAAACACATATCGCGTTCTGAAGTGTTGCAGCTCAAAGTTTAAATGATCACCTGTGACACGGCTAAAAGCTGCAATTCAAAGTAGCCCACTGTCCGGATAAAACTAGTCAATAATAATTTTATTTAACCATACGGGTTGATGCAGGCGGGTAGGGACCCCATGACCCGTTCCGAATCCACTCGCGAGTAACCCGCGTGATCAGCAATTTAACGCATGCGGCCGGGTTGATCAGAATAAAAAAATATTATTTTATCTCCATCAGCATATTTTTATTTATTTATTCTGGAGGAATCCGATGAGCTATGAAGCTTTTTTTTTGTATCACCCCACAGATATTCAGTTATATGCACAGCCGTAGTGCTTCATTCGTATTGCGGCATTGACCAGCAGTGGACCGATGCCTTCGTTCGTTTCCACGTGCCCGCCGCTCTGCGTGTGTAGTCGCCGCCTCCGCCGCACGTGCACCACGTGTGCATCACGTGACGCACGCGTGCCTCACGTGCATCACGTGCTAACACTTTGCCACACAATTTCCGCGCGTATGGCCGGGGGGCGGGGGGCGAGGCGTGGGTGCTGGCGTAGGAGAGTCTTTGACAGGCCTCGGAATAGTAACGCTGCGGCGGGCTGCAAAGCCCCGACGCTAACCCGGCTCTGCCAGGTGTGCGATAGCGGCATGTCTCTTGAGATGTTGGGACGCGTTCCAACTCCCCTGTTCCGTCCTGCCATGTGTCTCAATGCCTCCCTCTCCGCGTCTCCACGAGTCACGTGCTGCCTTACAGGCCAGTGGCTTTATTTCAGCCGGAAACAGGCGTGGAACACTGTTGTGTTGGCACGCCGCATTCATCTCGACTTGGAATTGTCCGAAGCCTATCCGCAGGATTTTCGAGATGTGGGGTGCAATAATATAGGATTATTGTGGGATAGCCGTAGCTTGTACTCTAAGTGGTAGTGCCTTACGCCGATAATCCAAGCCGGCCTAGGAGAGTTCTGGAAAATTTCGAGTGTCTCATTCCTCCCCGCACCCCGGGTCCTCCAGGCCAACGGGATGTAAGACGTCAATGGACAATACAGTTCTACGGGAACTGTTGATGTTTTTTTTTGTCATAATGCACGCCGAGGCCTCGAGTGCTTTCTGCACACATCGTTTCTGTGTGTCGTTTGAAACTGACGTAAGACGTCACCGCGTCGATCCCAAGTCCCTGCGCCCCCGCTCCGTTCCGCACGTGCGGCCACGCGTCCAAACGTGAGACGGGATCACATTTTGCGCGGTGACACAAGGAGGTTTGGTCCCACCTTTCTTCCGCTCTGGAGAAAAACGATGAACGTACCACCGCGTAGGCTTCTGCGGTTGCGCTTCAGAGCTCTCTCCGATTGTTTGCGGGTTGTCCGACGTTTTCGCTCCGCGTGTCGGGAGCTCCTTCATTTCTTTACTTCCCGAAGAAGCTCCCAGGCACATGGCAGTGATGTCCGATGCTTCTCTCCGCTTGCTGGGAGCTTCTTCGTGCCCTGAAAGAAAAAAAAGATGCTCCCAGCGCTTGGAGCGAAATCCGATACAAGTCGACAACGCATCCTCACAGATAGATCGAGACACTTGTTAACCCTGCTACCTCGACCCCCAACCACGGCACTCTTCCAATCGCGACCCCACCACATGTGTGTGTCTGTGTGTTTAACGGACCTGAGTGGACCTTACTGTGAATATCACGACGCGCTCAAAAAGTAGTCGTTTGGACACACAATGGAATCACAATATAATCTGCGAAGTATTTCATGGCACTTTGGCAAATCTAATAACGCTTCAAATTACAACAGTCGTGAATTATTTATGGTCCGGTGCCTTTTGGGCCATTTCTCTGTGCGCATTGATTCACGCGCGGCTCCGTGTGCGCGTGTCTCGCTGTGCTTTGTGGGGGGTAGAGAAGATATCGGATGTCTTTATCAATCTTGTAACGAACGAATCGCATAAAATTGCGCACAAAAACACACACACACACACTAACGAGCGTTTAAATAATTAAACGGCCCTGCAAAAAAATGTACCGTTAGGTAGTGCACATCAATTTGCAAAGATCGCCTATCGCTATTCAACCATTAACCCTCACTGTCGTGCAATCGTCTTTGCACTCGGCATCATCATCACCATTGTCATCATCAGCAGCAGCTGCCGCCATTTTCTATCCACCGCTGGATGAAGGCCTCCATCTTCAGTACACCCAGCGTAAGGTGCCCGCGCGAGCTGATTTCACCGCTCCGTCTCCGTGGGGGGGACCCTCACCACGCGGCCGGTTGGGATTTAATCCTCCTTTTGGCTGCCACTTCCACTGGTGGTCTCGACCGCAGGTTCCACCGTCGCATTCAAGCCCGAGCCACTTTCCTTAGCGGGCAATCTGACGTCTCCGCCTGGCGCAAGTTCTCGAATTAACGCGTGCCTCTATGAATATACATTTATATATACTGCGTGTGTATATATATATAGCTCAGGATAATTACTGGCAATGTTGCCATCCCTTCCACGCTTCTTTGTGCGCTTTTCAATTTCCGGAAGGCCTTCACCCAGCAGTCGGTAGATGCATGAACCAACAAGTGGAATGGGCGTACAAGTTCTGCTGTGGGGCGGTCTCCATGCCCACCCCCCTCAACCCCCCTCCCCTCCTTCTGCTGCGTGAGCTTCGGTCGGTACCCAGGGGTCAGCTGGACAAGCACTTCCCCTCGCTGAAGTGGAAATACAACGGCCAGATGCGATGCGTGCGGGGTCCATACGCAACAACAACAACATAATAATAATAATAACACAGCGCTAATGCTAATGAGAATAACACTTGGTGCTGACCTGATGGAATGGTTATTCCATGGGACTTGATCAGCCACTTCGTTGAGATATCATTTGTGGCCAGGTCGCTTCTGAAAAAGAAGCAAATTTCTCAGTGGGCTTTACACTGGTAAGGTGAAAAAAAAATGTTCAGTTTTATTTGTATATTTTTTTTTACTGATTTCTTTACCTTAATTTGCACTCCTATTGTGTTTTTTGTATTGTTTTAGTAACGTTCTGACCTGCCCCTACTGGACATCTATGAACAATAAGAGCTTCGTAGCGAATCGGATTCCCCCCCGCAGTCTAAATAAATTGTCCGAATAAGATTCCGGATCGAGTCGATCTTCCAGCGTGGCGCTTGAAACAGTGGCACAAGATTCTGAAAGCCGTCCACGCAGCAGAACAAATCGTGACACAGCACTTCGTCCTCAATCGGCGGGTCGCGTGCGGTGGGGTAGAGTGTGGGTGCGCATTGTCACGCGTGGCGCACATTAACACTCTAACACCACCACCCACCCACCCACCCACCTCTTCTTCTTCCAAAATGTCTGGACGGCGTGGGATAACAGAGGGCAAATACCCTCGAGTGAATGTCAACACGACATCGCCATCCTTGTGGGCAGATGTTTAATGACTTGTTGACTCGCGTGCGCGTGTTCGGTACGGTGAGGATTTTTAACCTTAATTATGGACGAGTCCTCTCTGCTCCGTTGCCGGCGTCCCGTCGCCGCCCATTCATTGCTTCATCTCTCACTCTGTATTTTTTTTTTCCGATCCGGAATGCCGCCAATTCCGCTTGGAATACGCATTAACCCCCCATAAGAGGGAACGCCTGGCCATAAGACTGCTTTATCATTGTGTTCTCTATTCATTTCATCGTATGGGTAGGTGTGTTTGCATTTCTTATAGATATAATGAGGTTGATGCATGGACTGATCGAGCTGAATGAAGCGTTCCACAAATAGTTTCCCAAACGGCGTTCTGAAAACTTGTAAATAATTGAAGATAAATCTAACTATTCTTTGGGTCTTTCGGTAAAGTCACGTGGATAAGTTCAAAGAAAATAAAAAATAACCAAAAATTACGACGTTTCGATCTCAACACGAGCGGTCGTCATCAGGAAGGGGAAAAAAGAGGGGGAAAGCTGCTGAGTCAGACTGTTTTAAAGGTTTAAAATGGGCGAAGCCCTAGGGTCATCAACGAAATGGGCGGGGCTAGTTATGTTAATGTGATAGATTAGCATGTTAATGTAAGATCGGAGGGTGACGTCCACAAGGGCGTGGAGGTGGCTATGTTAATGTGATAGATTAGCATGTTGATGGTAGATCGCAGAGCAGCAACGTGAAGCACGGCGAGCGAGTTGGCTGTGTTAGTTTAGGAAGTTTAACCTGGTAATGTAAAATCAGAGAGCCGAAAATAACAACTAACATCGGAAGGTGGTAGGATGGGAACATCACAGCCAGTTATGACGACTTAAACTGGTTGATAGCGTCCTTCCAATGATTGCTCAGTTTATCCCCATCTTCTCGATTTAAGTTGTGTCTGTGTCTGTATATGTGGATGGCTTCATGAAGGAATCTTTGTTGATAGCCGGTGGGTTTGCAAAGTACTTTCGTCTTAGCGAAATCAATTTCGTAAATTGAAAGTAAAGTTGATGTTAGTTGTAATCCGTTAACAGATTAATGGGAGGAAGGGAGGGGAGGGTTGGGGGAGCGGTGGCACTGCGGTTAGTGCACTCCCCCTACGAACACGGTCATCTGAGTTGGATTCCCGGCCACGGTTAAAGTTATTAGCGGTGAGTGATCTAATCTGAACAGGTCCTGAACTCCCCAACTCGTCCACCAACCCGCACTTACCAGCGTGGCGAAGTATGGTCAAACCAATACTCATGGCCGACACGGCACGTGAAGGCCTGCGTCCAGCTGTGGATAAACAGAGGGTTGCTGTACATCGTGAAACAATAATTAAGGAACGGTCACTCACACAAACATCACGCCATCCACCATGCGAGTATTCATGCAATGGGTTTATTTCAACTGTAGGATGATACAAGCATATCTTTTACCGAAGGACACCTGGGGTAGAGGATAACACGATGGTAGTAATAATAATAATAATAAAATAATCCCGGGCAATAATTAGCACAACATTGTAACTTGAGCGTAACGTTCCGACAACCGAAAACTGTTGAGGTCTCAAAACAGTCGTTTAACATCGGCGACAAACGTAGCAAAGGCTCGGTCCACGTCCTCTGCAGAGCGAATGGCGATCGAATGCTTGTGTGATATGCCGGGGCTATTGACAGGTGCGGCACAGTGTGAATCCACTGCTGGATGGTGAACTGGACTCCCGTGGTAAACTGTACTTCCATGGTAAACTGGACTTCCATGGTGAACTGGACTCCCATGGTAAACTGGACTCCCATGGTGAACTCGACTCCCATGGTAAACTGGACTTCCATGGTAAACTGGACTTCCATGGTGAACTGGACTCCCATGGTGAACTGGACTGCCATGGTGAATTGGACTCCCATGGTGAACTGGATTCCCATGGTGAACTGGACTTCCATGGTGAACTGGACTGCCATGGTGAACTGGACTGCCATGGTGAATTGGACTCCCATGGTGAACTGGATTCCCATGGTAAACTGTACTTCCATGGTGAACTGGATTCCCATGGTGAACTGGACTTCCATGGTGAACTGGACTGCCATGGTGAACTGGACTGCCATGGTGAATTGGACTCCCATGGTGAACTGGATTCCCATGGTAAACTGTACTTCCATGGTGAACTGGACTCCCATGGTGAACTGGACTCCCATGGTGAACTGGACTCCCATGGTAAACTGGACTTCCATGGTGAACTGGCCTCCCACGGTGAACTGGACTCCCATGGTGAACTGGACTCCCACGGTGAACTGGACTCCCGTGGTGAACTGGACTCCCGTGGTGAACTGGACTCCCATGGTGAACTAGACTTCCAAAGTGAACTGGATTCCCATGGTGAACTGTACTTCCATGGTGAACTGGCCTCCTACGGTGAACTGGACTTCCATGGTGAACTGGACTCCCATGATAAACTGGACTCCATGGTAAACTGGACTTCCATGGTGAACTGGATTCCCATGGTAAACTGGACTCCCATGGTAAACTGGACTCCCATGGTGAACTGGATTCCCATGGTAAACTGGACTCCCATGGTGAACTGGACTCCCATGATAAACTGGACTCCATGGTAAACTGGACTCCCATGGTGAACTGGATTCCCATGGTAAACTGGACTCCCATGGTAAACTGGACTCCCATGGTGAACTGGATTCCCATGGTAAACTGGACTCCCACGGTGAACTGGACTCCCACGGTGAACTGGATTCCCATGGTAAACTGGACTCCCATGGTAAACTGGACTCCCATGGTAAACTGGACTTCCATGGTGAACTGGACTTCCATGGTGAACTGGACTCCCATGGTAAACTGGACTCCCATGGTAAACTGGATTCCCATGGTAAACTGGACTCCCATGGTGAACTGGACTCCCATGATAAACTAGATTCCCATGGTAAACTGGATTCCCATGGTAAACTGGACTCCCACGGTGAACTGGACTCCCATGGGCAGGGGTCAGCAACCAAAATAACAAAGTGGACCCAATTTTTTTTTTCGAATTTAAAGAGCCGCACTGCAGTCCTGAAAGAGCCGCATGCGCCTCTGGGAGCCGCAGGTTGCCGAGATCACGTCGCGAGGGACCGGACACTGAAGCGGCCACACCGCAGATGATTGTTGCTGGTCGTTCCATCGTCGAGAGGGAGCGGACGCCGAGTCGTCAACGTGTCTCGGGAGTTTGCGTTTCTTTTTTTTTCCAGGGGGTTGTGTTTTACTTATTTTTTTTTCCCCCCCGTGGATGGAACTCTCCTCGACAGGACGTGGCGGGGTCAATGTCCGGCACGAGACAACGAAATGCGCTGAGATGACAGCGTCAACCACCACCCTCCTCGGCTCGTGCGTGTCCAGATGGACATTGTGTCCGCATCATTCTCACGAGTTAAGAATAATCCCCTCGTAATCCTTTGTTCACCATCGCTCTGTGTTATTTATACATTGAGACTTGTCTGGGTGTGTGTGTATGTGTGTCTGTGTGTACGCGTGTCTGTGCACATGGCCTGGCACAAGCGTCGTGGTGACGTCACCGCCACTTAGTGGCGAATGGCGGTTGTTATTGTTGTTGTTGTGTGTAGCGGTAGGCGCACTGCGCTACGAACCCGGTGACCCGTGTTCGATTCCCGCTCACGGCCAACACCAATGACGATTGTCTGAACCGGTCCTGGGCCTACCTCACCTTAGGTCGACTCAGCCTAAAATAAGTACCTGGTGCGGTGTGTAAACATCGCCGCTGAGGAGACAAAGGCGGGTCGGCGTGGTGCTGGCCACCCACCCATTCGTGTGTCGTACCGGCTTTCATAGGTGCTCGCTACCAGCACTCGCCCCTACAGTGTTTGTTGTGGATTCGGGGGTTGGGGCGAATTGACAGCTCCGATAAGGTTGCTGTCGACTAGGAGGAGGGAGGCTTTGGTTCAGGGGGTCTCTGGTTCAGAGGGTCTGTGGATCAGAGGGGCTGTGGGTCAGGGGGCTCTGTGGATCAGGGGGGTCTGTGGATCAGGGGGGTCTGTAGATCAGGGGGGTCTGTGGATCAGAGGGGTCTGTGGTTCAGAGGGGCTTTGGTTAAGGGGGTCTCTGGTTCAGAGGGTCTGTGGATCAGAGGGTCTGTGAATTAGAGGGGTCTGTGAATCAGAGGGGTCTGTGGATCAGAGGGGTCTGTGGATCAGAGGGGCTGTGGGTCAGGGGGCTCTGTGGATCAGGGGGGTCTGTGGATCAGGGGGGTCTGTGGATCAGGGGGGTCTGTGGATCAGAGGGGTCTGTGGTTCAGAGGGGCTTTGGTTCAGGGGGTCTCTGGTTCAGAGGGTCTGTGGATCAGAGGGTCTGTGAATTAGAGGGGTCTGTGAATCAGAGGGGTCTGTGGATCAGAGGGGTCTGTGGATCAGAGGGGCTGTGGGTCAGGGGGCTCTGTGGATCAGGGGGGTCTGTGGATCAGGGGGGTCGGTGGATCAGGGGGGTCTGTGGATCAGAGGGGTCTGTGGTTCAGAGGGGCTTTGGTTCAGGGGGTCTCTGGTTCAGAGGGTCTGTGGATCAGAGGGTCTGTGGATCAGGGGGCTCTGTGGATCAGGGGGGGTCTGTGGATCAGGGGGGTCTGTGGATCAGGGGGGTCTGTGGATCAGAGGGGTCTGTGGTTCAGAGGGGCGTTGGTTCAGGGGGTCTCTGGTTCAGAGGGTCTGTGGATCAGAGGGTCTGTGGATCAGGGGGCTCTGTGGATCAGGGGGGGGTCTGTGGATCAGGGGGGTCTGTGGATCAGGGGGGTCTGTAGATCAGGGGGGTCTGTAGATCAGAGGTGTCTGTGGATCAGGGGGGTCTGTGGATCAGAGGGGCTGTGGATCAGGGGGGTCTGTGGATCAGGGGGGTCTGTAGATCAGAGGGGTCTGTGGATCAGAGGGGTCTGTGGATCAGGGGGGTCTGTAGTTCAGGGGGGTCTGTAGATCAGAGGTGTCTGTGGATCAGGGGGGTCTGTGGATCAGAGGGGCTGTGGATCAGGGGGGACTGTGGATCAGGGGGGTCTGTAGATCAGAGGGGTCTGTGGATCAGAGGGTCTGTGGATCAGAGGGTCTGTGGATCAGGAGGCTCTGTGGATCAGGGGGGTCTGTGGATCAGGGGGGTCAGTGGATCAGGGGGGTCTGTGGATCAGAGGGGTCTGTGGATCAGAGGGTCTGTGGATCAGAGGGGTCTGTGGATCAGAGGGTCTGTGGGGGGGGCTGTGGATCAGGGGGGTCTGTGGATCAGGGGGGTCTGTGGATCAGAGGGGCTGTGGATCAGTGGGGCTGTGGATCAGAGGGGTCTGTGGATCAGAGGGTCTGTGGATCAGGGGGCTCTGTGGATCAGGGGGGTCTGTGGATCAGGGGGGTCTGTGGATCAGGGGGGTCTGTGGATCAGAGGGGTCTGTGGATTAGAGGGTCTGTAGATCAGAGGAGTCTGTGGATCAGAGGGGTCTGTGGATCAGAGGGTCTGTGAATTAGAGGGGTCTGTGAATCAGAGGGGTCTGTGGATCAGAGGGGTCTGTGGATCAGGGGGGTCTGTGGATCAGTGGGGTCTGTGGATCAGAGGGGTTGTGGATCAGAGGGGTCTGTGGATCAGAGGGGTCTGTGGATCAGGGGGCTCTGTGGATCAGGGGGGTCTGTGGATCAGAGGGGTCTGTTGATCAGAGGGGTCTGTGGATCAGGGGGGTCTGTGGATCAGAGGGGCTGTGGATCAGAGGGGCTGTGGATCAGAGGGGTCTGTGGATCAGAGGGTCTGTGGATCAGAAGGGTCTGTGGATCAGGGGGGTCTGTGGATCAGGGGGCTCTGTGGATCAGGGGGGTCTGTGAATCAGGGGGGTCTGTGGATCAGGGGGGTCTGTGGATCAGAGGGGCTGTGGATCAGAGGGGTATGTGGATCAGAGGGTCTGTGGATCAGGGGGGTCTGTGGATCAGAGGGGTCTGTGGATCAGGGGGTCTGTGGATCAGAGGGGCTGTGGATCACAGGGCGTGATGCCAGAGGTTGAACTACAAACTTCCCAATGGAAATTGGGGGTCAGACATCGTCAATGACATTGTCAAGAGTTTTAAATAGGACCCAACATTAATCGACAAATCATTCCCCGTATTTTCTCTCTGGTAAACATTAATAAAATACAAATTTCTCTCTGGCAAACATTAATAAAATACACATTGTCGAGAACTGAAGTGTAGGGGAGACGCAACCCTCCCCCCCACTCCCACCATCGCCTCTTCCTTGCATCCGCCACTGGGTGATACAGTAATGTGGGGTGGGTGGGTTTG